CTTGATATAGATGATGTGAGAGGACAAGGTTATGACAATGGGTCAAATATGAAAGGAAAACATCAAGAGGTACAAAAGAAACTTTTTGATGTAAATCCTCGTGCTTTCTATATTTCTTGTGGTTGTCATAGCCTTAATTTAACACTTTGTGATATGGCTAAGACTTGTGGTAAAGCTAAGGACTTATTTGGAATCATCCAGCACATCTATACAAGTTTTGCTAATTCTACTAAGAAATGGTAGATTCTGAAAGATAACATATCAGGATTGACTCTCAAGTTAGTATCAGCTACACATTGGGAGAGTTGTGTTGAAAGTATTAAAGCTATTAGATTTCAGTGCACAGACATTCGAGAGGCTCTACTTCTGGTGCCCAATATTGTTGTATTGATATTTGATAATGATGTACTTATTTTGGCTATCTCCAATTATAACACATATTTTCTTCCTTTCAATTTTAGGTATATGATGTTGATAATGATCCAAAAACAAGCAGTGAGGCTAAGGGCTTGGCAAACAATGAACTTGGAGAGTATGAATTTATAGTGGCAATAGTCATTTGGTATGAGGTATTATATGTCGTTAATTTAGTAAGCAAACACTTGCAAGCAAAGGATATGCTTATTGATGTTGCTATTGAGAAAGTGCAAAGTTCACATTTTGAGATTGCCAAAGGAATTGCACTTGAGATGGATATTGCTACAATGTTTCAGAAAAGAAGAGAAATTAAAAGAAAGAGACATTTTGATGAGAACAATCTAGATGACACAAATGTTGCTACACAGTCTGCAGAGGACCTATTTAGAATTAGCTATTTTGTACCTGTTGTTGATCAAGCAATTTCCTCACTTACAAGAAGATTTAAACAATACCAGAGTTACCAAAAAAATTTTGGTTTCTTATTTACCTCTGAAACATTATAGTCATTGGATGACACGAGTTTGAAATCTTCTTGTGATAATCTTGGGGTTGTCCTTACAAAAGACGGAAAATCTGATGTTGATGCCAATGATTTGTATGTGGAGTTGAAGTTTCTTCAAGGTTTCATTCCTAAAGAAAATATGGGTCCTGTTGAAATTCTAAAGTTTCTAAAGTGGTATGACTGTTTTCCCAATGCAAGTATTGCATATAGAGTTCTGTTGACCATTCCTATGACCATTGCATCGGCAGAGCGAAGCTTTTCTAAATTGAAACTATTGAAGTCATATTTGCCTTCGACAATGACACAACAAAGACTTAATGATTTGGCCACAATAGCACTTAAGAGTGAAGTGCCGGAGAAGATTGATTATGAGCATATCAATGAAGATTTCATTTCAAGGAACACTAAAAGAATGATGCACTTCAAGTAAAGATTATGAAAGCAAGAGTCTAATAGGTACGTTTTTGATATATCTTATTGTGATATATATCATATATCTTATTTATAGTCCTATTTTTTAGGGAGGCATGCCTCATTTTAGAGTTTGGTACATGGCCTCGATTTTTGCCGGCTCGGCCCTGCCACCAAGCTATCGGCCCAGCAGCCGTCAAGGAGGAGGCCCGCAAGGGCTAACGTGATCAACCAATGTGGAGATCAAGGCAAACCAAGGTGCGTGTATCTAGATGAAAGTTAGGATCAATCTATTGTAACAAACTAGGGACATAATCTGTTAGCTCGATCACCCTCTCTGTAACCCTACCTCTCCTGCCTATATAAAGGAGGGTAGGGACCTCGAGCTCGGGATCCAATCTTCCACCAATTTCATCTACCTCGTAGCTAGGAACAACAACCCCTATAATTGATCATACAAATACAAGAGCAGTCGCACCACTGGAGTAGGGTTTAGCGCGCAGCGATCACGTTGCTGGATATTGCTGGAGCAAAACAAACCGACACTAAGGCATGAGATGGAGCCGCACTATGGTTACATAAACTTGGCTTTACTAGAAGAGAGGCATGAGTTGGTAATTAGGACATAACTGACATATCACTTGTATGCTTCCTGAGGAGAATTTAAGGCACCCATTTATCTTTCTTGGGTCGCTTGGTCGTTCGGTTGTTCATAGTTAAAACCGGCTTGAGGAAACTTTCAAGGTTTTTCATCAAAGCCCCAAGTTAAAACATTTCATTAGGGTCAACAATGTTCGCCATTCAAAAGGCAAAACTAGAGCTCAGTCGACGCACAAGCAAGACATATATACTTCAGATAAAAAAAAAAAAACACAGTAGATATATTCCTGAACACTCAGCTTAACTTTAATTAGTATAGACTCACTGTAGCGAGTCATACAACAGAAGTGAGGACAAATGGGCACAACTCAACCATAAAGCAAGAACATTGAACACTTAGATACAAACAACTCTGCTAGAGCTTAGGCACCCTAATTGCCCATTTACACAACACACACATGCCATAGCTTCATATTCACCATTCACATCACTCGGTCTAACCGTACCATGCATCGGCATCATCAACGACGGAGATCCTGCATGCGCCGCTGAGAACCCCGGAACTCATTCATGAACGCCTTATGGAACTCCCTGAAGCGTGGGATCATCGATGCGATTTTGCTCTCATCAGGAAGGATCGTGCACCGAATATGGGTCGTCCCAGAGGCCTTGTCATTGCATTGCACAAACAAGATGAGACAATGAGGTAGCCAAGGGAATGCAGTAAATTGGTACATAAATCACCCATAGCTATTATGAAAAAAAAAATCTAAAATAACTCCATCATCTTTATCTAAACTGCCTGTGTATTATAAAGTAGTAAACCTCTAAGCTTGCATATAAAATTATAAATTAACCACCTTTACGTTATTAAAATAATAACCTCTGTTAATACCTAAATCTGCCTCAAAATTAAATCATAACTCTATCATTATGAAAAAAACTCCAAGTGCTCTTATATATAGGGGTGAGAATAATTAGACATAACTAAAGAACTGAACCGATCAAGACTGAAACCAAATACTTTGGTCATAATTTCTAATTAACTGAATTTATTTCTGGTACTTGGTCTTAGGCCTCGGTTAACCAAACTAACCGAAATAGTTGTTATTTGCATAATGAGTTGTTATTTGCAAGTTTATTAGCTATTACGGTTGAACATTCAACAATTGAACGTTTATGTTGAATTGCAACAACTATATTGGTATTTGTATTATATATTAATTCCATTCATCTTATGATCTATCAAACATGCTTTGGAATAGAAATATTGATGCCAAAATTCATTGTCATAATATATCTTGAAACTTTTTGGTTAGTTTGGTCTACACCGAAGACTGAACCAAACTAAAACTAAATTGCTCGTCTTCAGTATTTTGCAATATATTTTTGGTATTTTGGTTTTCAGTTTTATTAGACCGTAAATATGAAAAGGCTGAAAAACCACTTCGGTTAGATTGAGCGTGCACCATTTCTTATACATGCTTCTAAATTTACCTGTTTCTAATATTGTTAACGTACAAAACTAATTCAACATCATGACATGTGTCACCATCAAACCACATATACATATACAAAGGAAGCATACACGTACACGTACATGTAACCGATACCGATACCTATACCTATACCTATACCTATACCTATACCTATACCTATACCTACGAAGCAATGAGTATACCCAATTACTGTACCAGGTATATAGCTCAAGTGAGGTTCCAACTAAACATATATCAAACACACAGAGGTACACAAAAGGTGGAAAATGTGAATGGGGATAGAAAACCATATATATAGAGTAAAAGTCTCACATCCAAAAAGATATCTATTTAAATATTATATTATAATATGGAAAGTATTAGAGATTGCAAAGGTAAATAAACTTGATTAGTTTTGGACCACGTGTTTATTCACAAAATTTCTAGTACTTATGTATCTTAAAATAATATAAAACTTTTATATAGACACATTCACTTATTTGGGTTCTATGATTGTCGCTTTGCTCTACTCCATCCATCCATAAAAAGGATGTCGCTATGGGGTTCATGGTGGCCAAGCTTTTTTAAGTTTGAGTGGATTTATACGAAATATTAGTAACATTTGTATCTCCAGATAAGTTTATTATAAAAATATATTCAACGATTTATCAAATCAAAAGATACTAATTATGCACCATAAATATTAATATTTTTTATATTTTTTATCAAAATTGTAAAAAATGGTTTTTTGAGAAATGAGAATGACATTTCTTTATGGGACGAAGGGAGTATTTCATAGAGATCGATTCTACCTAGCCATGCACTTATTCCTTTATTTGTTTTCTATTCTAAATAAATATTTTTTGTTTATTTTATATAGATAGAATCTACCTAGTCATGCACTTATTCCTTTTGTTTTCTATTCTAATTAAATGACTTTTGTTTAGGTTGCGATGCTAGGCTCTATCAATTGTGTGACTGCACCTTTCACTAGGCACTTCCCGGTGCAACAACTTTGTGCATACTTACGGGCAACTTTGATAGGTGGTATGAATTGCGCTTAGCTATATATGTTCCCACATTCTAATTAAATTTTCTTTGATTTTCCTAATTTATAATTCTTTAAATCTTTTGCAATGAACTTATGCCCTTTTCTATAAATTGGCTTTATTTGTTGAGTGAATTGCGTGGTGGGTCCTTAAACTTTTCCCCACTTCTCACCTAGGTCCATAAACTTTTTTTTGCTCATCTGATCCATGAACCTTGTCTACGTCCTAGCTATCATCCAAAGCAGCCCACATAGGACTCTGTTGCCTACGTGGCCGCTAATGTGGCACCATGTGCTATTTTTTCATAAACTGGCTGAAACTATAAAAATGATATAAAATCGTAAAAAGAAAAATCCAGTTTTGTGAGACTCGATATAAGTAAATCTATGCAATAAATATATAATATGGTATGCTTTAGTTTAGAGTTTTTATTATAGCTGTAGATCTATGTGTTTAATTTATAACTGCAGCACCTATGCTAGGTGAAATGGACAAGTACGAAAGGCTCACGGTGCATACACAAAATTTAAAGGCGACGGATTATTCGTGAGGAGCCTGACTAACCTGGTGGAACCCAGAGCCCGGCACAACGGCGATCCCGGTGGCGTCAAGCAAGCAGTGAGCGTAGAATGTGTCAGGTGAAACTCCCTTGGACTCGGCGGCCCTGATCGCGGCAGAGGGAAGGTGGAGCCGTGGGAACAAGTACAGTGCACCCTCTAAATTGTTGCAGCTCACGCCCTCCATGCTGCTGAAAGCTTTCTCTAGGGTCTGCAGTTGCACGGAGAAGAGGAGATCATGCCATTGTCACGACAATGCAAGGTGTCTCATACGCAGATCGATGTGCTTGAAGAATGATGCTTGCACACCTTGGCATGCTTCCTGAAAGATAAACGGATCTTTTCCTTCTCATCATCAAATAACTCGAAAGACTCATCTCCTAGCTGCATACAGGTCACAAGGAAATTAAAGTTCAATAAAAATACTCGGATGGATGAAGAGAATTTTGTGATGATTTAGTTCAAGTTTGAAACCTTTGGTGGATCCATTGCAAGGCTGATAAGAATTTGGCCAGCTATGTTGGGGCAGATTGTTAAAGAAGCCACCTTGCAAATCTGATCCTTCACATCATCTGCAAAACCAGTCACCTCCATGTAGCCTCCTCTTCTCCCACTTTCCCCATAGCCTGCCAGGTTCAGAAGATGGGAGAACAGACAAACTTCAACCTGGACCTCCCACAGATTTTTAAGATCATATTTTTTATATATATAAAGGAAGACTCACTCATTGAAACGGAATGAAATGATACTATGGAGATGTCCTTTTCGTCATAACCAAGTGATCTGGCCACTTTCTTGAAAGAATGGAATTTTTTGTTCTCTGCATAGATATTTTCCTGGTATACCTGCAAGTAAGGCCCGTTTGGATCCATGAAATTAAATTTATTCTAATAATTATAATTTAGGCACAGATTAATTAAGCTAATATGGTTGTATATGAAAATATATGTGTATACTATTGTTAGCAATACAAGGAGAGATATTTATATGTTGCATTTTTACTATAAGGAAGCGAGTTGAACAACATGCTATAAGTTGCAGAATAAAAACATAGCATGGTGATCTATAGAATCAATCTCTATCTCCCACTCTATGAATTTGAGATAAGCTTAATTATATGTGAACTTGGAAAAGTTGTGGAATGTTAAATTCCAAACCAAATAGCCTAGTTCATTAAGTAGATTCCAATTCCTCAAAAATAAAATGATCCAAACAGCCCCTAATTGATTTGCACAGGACAGAATGTTCTTTTTTTTCTTAACGTGGTTAATGTGATTTGACAATGCAAAAAGGGCTACATTTGGACTTAGTACTAACCTCATCAGCAAGCATAACTAGACCTTCCTTCCGACAAAATTCCAGTATTTCCTCCTGGTTGGTGATGGACAGCACCTACAAGAAAGGAAGGAGATGCTGACAAAGAAAAACTCTGGTAATTACCTTATTTTAGAATCTTACTGCTACTAATTAGAGGTTGCAATAAAGATTTCACATTAATTATCACAAGACGCAGTAGAAGAAAAAAAAGATAAATCTAGAAATTCTCATAAAAATAGAAAGATCTAACCATCAATTTGGTGTTCTAATCACCATTGATATAATATATAGTCATCATATCTATTCTTTAAAAATGGCATATATGCATACCTTGTAATGGCATATATGTTTGAGAGAAAAAAGTGTCATACCAGCACAAGTTAACGGTCGAGTGCATCATTTAACTCTTTATTTTTGCTAAATTTGACCAACTAACATGTGGGGGTCATGCTGCAGGTGAGGACAAAAATTTCCTGCGCACTACCTAGCCATTTATGTTTTCAGCAAGGAAGATTCATCACTTATTTATTCCTACTAAAAGCTGAACTGAAATGTGATTGAATTGAAAATTTTCCGATAATCAGATCATCACTGGTAAGAACAACCCTGCAAAACTTCATCTGGATGTTTGTTTTCTCTATTCAACATGTAAAGGATTTAGGAAAATCATGTGCCATACCTGTCCAGTAGGATTGCCAGGGTTTATTACCACCATAGCTCTAACAGTCAGGCCAGCTGAACGAGCCTCTTCCAAGCATCTCTTGACTTCAAAAATCTCAAGGCCCCAACCATTATCTTCAGTAAGATTGTACGGCACCTAGTTACAGTTCAGTTCGTAGTTATTTCAAGCATAGAGTACACGTATTTTGTCTTCTAATTTAAGAAACAAAAAATGATTAAAATTGAAAAACAATGAATCTGATGAGAAGTTTGGGCTTGAACATTTTAAACAGGCCACTTTTACTGCAATTGCAAATGTTGCTTGACTATCTTTTCAACTGTACTAGTACTGTACCATCGTTCCACCATGAAGTATGATGGAAGCCGAGTATAAGGGGTATTCTGGTAGAGGGCTCAAAATGCCATCTTCGTGAGACCTGATGAGTATCTGCATCAGCAAATTGATCTGAAACATGCAGAAAGGAACGCGGTCAAGTTGAAGATATTCACACTGATGTTTGCATTTGTAAAGGACCCAATTTCATGTGCATCTGTGCATGTTTGTTCTGAAATGCAGAGTATTACCGCTGCGCTGGCTCCATCAGTCAGAAAAATATCATCTGCTTTTGATGGAAAACCATCTCTTGCAGTAATCCCGTCTGCAACTACTTGACGCAGAGATTTGATTCCCTGATCATATTAGGCTAGTGTCAACAATGTAACCCATAACTGTGAAAGGAAAATATACACCATCCAGCAAAAATAGATCATTACAGTACGAAATAAAAAAAAAAAGGTTTTGGGTTGCATACTGATCCTCAATAATTCTGATTTGAGAACATGTTCATGACTCTGAAAGTCCAAAAAATTTACAATAACTAAAAACGTAATTTCAGCTGGCTACCCGACTATCAGTATATCCACCAGTGTCTTTGCTCGGAATCGAATTTATGATCCTCCTGGCTCTTCTTATGCTACAAGGACTGTGGCAGTAGAACGAAACGTTATCAGTCAAGTTTCTGCCAAATTATGTATCATCGAAAGTAGTTCTTACCAGCTTTGGTGCTAGAAGTGAAAAAATAAATTCATACTAAGTTTATGAAGCTCATCATAAATGCTACACTAAACAGAGTTCAACCATATAGTCCAACCTGAATAAGGCACAGGCTTCATCTTTATTCAGGAGGGTTGGATTGTCACACAGGGAAAGAACCTGGAGCCAACAATTTTGAGCATGAAACAGCGCCATCTTTGTATCGTCTTAGAATTTTTTTGTGGAGGGTAAGGATGTTAACCTCACGGAAGAAAGTTAATGGTGGCTGACCAAGAACCTGGGGGTTCCCAAGATTGCAGTATATTATCTGTTGGACATCATCAAAGACTGATCAAAGGGTATAAACTGTGATATACGCACTTGCAGAGGAGTTTCACCTCTTGGAAAGGGAGAGAACCAGGGTTTTCCTCCATCTCCTGCTCCAACCGCTGAATGACACATAGCAAAGACAATATTTTGTCCTTTTATTAGTCAGTAATTTTGCATTTTTTTTAAAAAAAAACAAAACTCAACCCCTGAGGATAAGACCTCTGCTGACCCTGAGGCATTAACGGAAAGGTAGCAGATTATCTTCCGCAGTGTCGAGAGAAGGCCACAAACTCCGGCTACTTAGGACGTGCCACTAACGGCGAGGACTTGCCTACAGCCGTGCATTACACTGCAGCCGCTATTGGACCACGTATTTCACTGGAAATAGCAAAGGAGTGGTCTTTTTTTGTGAGAACGGGGATTTAAAACTCCTGACCGGTATGTTGCCCTTCTGCTTTCCCTACCACTGCACTACGTGCACGTTCTCACGTAATGTTATTGAGATCTAAATATCTGTAACGCAACATCTGAAACGTTGAGGCACCATTTGTTACTAAAAATAACAATGGTAGTACAATTTAAACTAGACCAACAACAGTTAGATCTTAATTTTTTTAAAAGAATCCATACAGTTTAAATAAAGAACTTTATTTTTTTGCAACTAATCAAGCCAAAGGAAAATAATCATAAATGTAGCGTACAGATGCTGAATCTACTAGTTTCTTGGTCCCGCTCTTCAGCTGAGAAGCCAGCGAGCCGGCCGGTCGGAACTCGGAACGTTACCTCTGCGTGCTTGAGGATCTCCCCGCAAGGTGCGTAGTTGAAGATCTTGACCTTCAAATGAACGGACGCGTAACTGATCAGAAGAATATATGCACGGTTCTACATAAACATATAGTTTCTGAAGAAGAAATGACGACGATGCTGTGCAAAAGCCGGAGGGCCGGGGAGCCTCGTCACCCTGGGATTTATGGTCTCGGCGGTGATGGACGGGGACTTGTTGTACGACATGGCGCGTGCGGGAACCGGCGACAGGGAGAGGCAGTAGGAGACGAGGAGGGAGGGGCCGCTGCGACTGCGACTGCGAGAGTGAGAGCGAGAGGACTGAAGAGTGAGGAGCAAAGACGGAATCAGAAGGTGCTCTGGTAGCTCGGCACTTGGCGTCCGCTTGGGCGGTGCTCTGCCACGTCCCGTCCGCGCGTCGGGACCAAGCCTTGGACCAGCCTCGTGTAATCCCCTCACGCTTGCCCAGACAGCGCAGCGATCACGGGATGGACAGGAGGAAAATTTGGTGCGGTCTGCAGGCAGTATGCATGCCATTGCCACGCGTGCTTCCTCACGATCCAACAGCGCCCATGGCCTGGGAGAGGTCCTGAGCCTTGACGCACGGTGCGCAGCGGCAGGCGACGCACACTCTTTTCTTTAGGGCCGGCCGGACGCCGCGATCACAATTCACATTCACAGGAGCCTTCCGAGAAGGGAGAAGCATCGACCACAGGACGGCACGCCCGGCTTTGCTCACTGCTCAGACGACTCGTAGCCGCGGAGGCCAGACAGCCTCTATCAAAAAATGACCTATCAGAAACTAGGTGGTTTTCTATTAACAAGAAAAAATAGGCACCGGAATTTAGTCTATGATGGGACTTAAACCTAGATAGTTGAGATGTATTGCCACATCTCTCATCCAACCAGTTGAGCTAGGCTTGTTAAAAATCCATGGATGCTCCTAGATGTAGAACAGTCGGTGTATATGCTTCTATTCGGGATAGAACACATAGATCTGTCCTACAACATGAACTAGAGAGAGGATGAGAGAGGGGATGTGTTACCGACCAGCAGTGGGCTTGACGGAGGAGCTGGTCATGGCGTCGGTGAAGAAGGCTGTCGAGTTGGAGTCGATGGAGAGGGACGACGCAGTCCAGTGACAACGGCGTCCAGGAGGCGGCGAGTCGAGGAGGACGGTGGCGGCGCTTCCCGCCGCTGACTGCGCTCCCTTAGATCGGATTAGGATTCTGTCGGTGGGGGATACTGTGGCAACCGGTGAACCTCATACCGTGAGCCGCCAAGCCCCCACCTCTTTATATAGCGCAGTGCGACGGATGCCCACCAACCTTGTAGGGTTGGACGCCCTCGATCAGGGAGCGGGATCAAGGCCCAAGTTGCCCGTTGGGCCAATCTTAGTGGAGAGATCAACCTAACATTCTCCTCCCTGATCTCACCATTTTGTCTTAAACTTAAAATACTTATCTTTTTCCCATTCAATCACAGATTAGTACATAGAGCGTGTCTCGTCACAATAGTCATTACAATTAGATTAACAGCTACAATACACATCTCTGTTTTAAAAAATTCTCATCTAGGCCCTTATTATCCAGAATCATAGGCTTTCCCGTAAACCCATGCCGGCTAAGTGTTCTCTGAACACATTGGGTTGTAAGCATTTTGTAAGCGGATTCACAAGCATCTTTTTTGTGCTTACATGCTCAAGACTAATAGCATGATCCCGGACTTTGTCTTTCACAACATAGAACTTTATGTCAATGTGTTTGGCAGCATTACTTGACCTATTGTTGTGAGCATAAATTACTGCTGGTTCATTGTCGCGGTATAACTTGAGTGGTCTATGGATGTCGTCAACCACTTTCAACCCAGGCATAAATTTCTTTAGCCAGTTCACATCCTCCATGGCCTCATAACACGCTACAAACTTGGCATACATCTTGGACGATGTAGTGACGGTTTGTTTGGAGCTTTTCCACGATATAGTTCATCCTGCGAGAGTAAATACATACCCTGATGTGGATTTTCTATCATCTACATCTCCCATAAAATCTAAATCCGAATACCCTCTAAATGTAGAGAATCAGATCTTCTGTACATTAGCATTAGGCCTTTTGTGTCTTGCACATAACGCAAAGCTTTCTTCACCATTCTTTAGTGTTCTATTCCTGAATTACTCTGATATCTGCCAAGTATCCCAATAACAAAAGCTAAGTCAGGGCATGTACATACTTGAGCATATTGTAAGATTGCTATAGCTGAAGCATATGGAACCGCTTTCATTCGATCGATCTCATATTGGTTCCTGAGACATTGGAATTCTCCAAAACTATCGCCATTTACTATAGGAGCAGGTGAAGGGTTACACACATGCATACTATATTTCTTTAGAATCTTTTCTAAGTATGCCTTTTATGATAATTCTAAAACCTCCTTTTTTCTATCTTGGTGAATCTCTATTCCTAAAACAAACAAAGCTTCATCGAGATCTTTCATGTCAAAATTTGAGGACAAGAACTTCTTCGTCTCCAATAGTAGATTACCATCACTGCTAGCGAGTAAGATGTCATCCACATACATGATTAGAAAAATGAATTTTTCATTCTTGAACTTTGTATAAACGCAATTGTCCTCCACATTCTCTTTAAATCCAAACTTCTTTATTAGTCCATTAAACTTTAAATACCACTGTCTAGAGGCTTGTTTTAATCATAAATGGATTTCTTCAGCGGCATCCCATACGTTCTTTTTCTTTTACGACAAAATCTTTTGGTTGTGCCATGTAAACATTCTCATCTAAATTCCCGTTAAGGAAGGCCGTCTTTACATCCATCTGATATAATTCTAAATCGTCATGTGCCACTAACACCATTATGATTCTAAAAGAATCCTTGCATGAGACTGGAGAAAATATCTTATTATAATCTATTTGTTCTATTTGCGTAAAGTCTTTCGCCACAAGTCGCGCTTTAAATCTTTCCACATTTCCTTTGGAGTTATATATAGTTTTGTAGATCCATTTATAGCCTACTGTCTTGGCTCCTTTAGAAATTCTTTCTAAGTCTCAAACACCGTTGGTGCTCATTGATCTCATTTCATCTTGCATGGCTTCAAGCCACTTTGATGAGTGAGCGCTTCTCACGGCTTCTTCAAATGAGGTGGGATTACCTTCCATTTGAAATTTTTCACATTCATAGACTTCGTAGTCATCAGGAATGGCTGGTTTCTTGACTCTTTGAGACCTTCTAGGGGCCTCATTAGTTGTCGCTTGTTCCATATAGGGCGGTTGTTTTTCTTCTTCATATGCGACAACAGGCTCTATAGGATCCTGAAGGACAGGTTCCTCATGTTTATTTATTGTTGCCACAGGAGAACTAACAACAGGTGCTGTCACTATAGTGTCATGTACTGTTGGTGCAGCAGCAACAGGTAGCGAGAAAAATGGCTCCTGAACCATCGGAGTGGGCACGTATACCCTCTTCTCCTCAAAGTTAATTTCTCGCGCTACTATGCTCCCCCTGACCATATCATCCTCCAAGAACACAGCGTATGTCTGTCAAGATAGTAGAAACGATAACATTTTGACTTGTCTGGATAGCCAATGAAATGGCAACTGACTATCTTAGAGTCTAGCTTCAGCTAGACATCCCCACATACTTGCTTGGTACTCGATTGAGAATATGAATGGCGGTTTTTAATGCCTCCATCCATAAACTTATCAGTAAAGTGGAGTAACTTATCATACTTCTCACCATATCCATTAAGGTACAGTTGCGTCTTTCAGCTACTCCATTCTGCTGAGGCTTGCCCGGTGTAGAGTATTGGGCAACTATGCTATTTTCCTGTAAGAACTTTACAAAAGGTCCAAGAACTTGGCCATATGGGGTATGTCAATCGTAGTACTCCCCCCATGGTTGGATCTTACTATCTTAATCTTTAAATTGTGCTGATTTTCTACTTCAACCTTAAATATCTTAAATTTATCCAATGCTTCTGATGTTTCCTTAATTGAATAAATATAGTCATAACGAGAATAATCATCTGTGAATGTTATAAATGAATCATAACCATCCACACTTTTCATAGGAAAAGGATCATAGATATCTGTGTGAATTATTTCTAAAATTCATATGCTTCGTTTGGCATTTTCTTTATTTTCTTAACATATTTTCCTTTAATGCAATCAATACATTGTTCTAAATCTAAAAATTTTAATGGCGGAAGAATTGATTTCTTAATCAATCGTTCTATTCTCCCCCTCAAAATATGACCTAAACGACAGTGCCATAATTTCGATGATACATCATGAACTTTCTTCCGCTTATTTCTTGCATTCATAGACGAGGAGGCATTCTCATTCTTAGTGCTCACAGCATTCACATTCTCAGAAAGTGATAACAAATAAAACTCGTTTTGTCGGAAGGCAAGACCAACACACTTATAATTAAACATTATCTTACATTTGTCATTACCAAAATGGCAATCAAATCCATCATCGTCTAAATGTGAAACACTTATTAAGTTTCTACATAAAGAGGGTACATAAAGGACATCTGTAAGCTTAAGTACAAAGCCATCATTTAATTTTAATGGGAGTTCTCCAATGACTTCAACTTCAGTTTGGACTCCATTTGCCACCTTAATGTGTCTTTCTCCTCTTTGTAGGGTCCTCCTCGTATGAAATCCCTATAATGAATTTGCAACATGAATAATTGCACCTGAATCAATCCACCAAGTAGATTTTGCATAACTTAAATACAAGGACTCATCTATGAATGTAATAATGTCCTCACCTTTTCTCATTAGGTGCTTTAGGAAATCTGGACAATCCTTCTGATAGTATCCAATCTTCTTGCACCATTTTCAGGTGTCCTTGTCCATTTGAATATAGTTGGATTTCTAATGATGATCTTTCTGAGAGGCCTTTCCTTATAACTTAGAGGAGGAGCTATTGTCCCACTGAGGTTTCCCTTATGGTTTGTCTTTCTTGTTGTAAAAGCTCTTCCTTTTATTTTTCTTCACATGGTTAGCTAGAGTCACCATGTGAGCTCTTAATCTCTCTCCTCTTCTTACACACATATTGCAATGAGCTTCTCAATGTCCCACTTATCTAGATGTAAGTTGTAGTTCACAACAAAAGTCTCATACTCTTTGGGCAAAGAAGCAAAAATCAAATGAATTAGGAACTCATCCTTGAGCCCCAACTCCATTGGCCTAAGCTTAAATGTCGTGTTGTTTATCTTCAATATATGGTCTCTAATTCCTCCATTAGAGTATTTCTCATTGACTAACTTTTTAATTAGAGTGCTTGCATAAGCCTTTGAAGAGCCAGTAAACTGACTCTCCACCTTCTTGAGATACTTAGTGGCGGTGGTACATTCTAGGATTGATCCCCTTATTGGATCCTCAATGGAGCCCTTAATCACCATCAAACACTTGCGGTTTGAACTATCCCACTTCGCATGATCAAGATCATACTTCATTCTCACTTCTACATGGTCACGCTGCCGAATAGCGAAAGCTACATCGGTCTCATTTTC